TCTCTCTCTCTCTCTCTCTCTCTCTCTCTCTCTCTCTCTCTCTCTCTCTCTCTTTCTCTCTCTGTGTGTGTGTGCTTGCATACACACAAGTGCCATTTACAACAGTTTGAATGTAGAGGTCTGAAAAAAAAAACTTCAGAAACTTGTCCTCTCCCTTCATTCTGTGGGTCCCCCTGTCCAAATGCAGGTCATCAGTTTTTGTGACAATTGCCTGTGCTGACTGAGTATTCTACTTATCTATCGCCAGCACTCTATATAAAATTTTAAAGCACATGTTAACAGATTTATCTATTTATCACAGCTCTCTGACTTTGTGTTGGTTAGATCTGTTGTTGGAAACATATAACATCTTTAATTATGAAAAATTGTTATTTTGAACAATAATATCTTCTTGATAAAAAAATTGAACCACACAGGCTTATTTATTTTAAGAGTGTGGAGAAATCAACTATTATGATTTTAGTGCAAAGGACATTATATTGAGAAGTTTGTTAAATTAAGCTCAGTGTTTTTACTGTAAAAGTCTGGTGGACTTATATAGTGTATGTCAGAAAACATGTGACTGCTGTCATATTAGAGTAATTTTTAAATTAGTTATAAACATATTTCTAGCATCTAAATTATTACAAACACAGTTTGAGAAGAATTGTTATGTATGCAAATATTGTCCATGTAACATACATATGTACTTTTTGGTGTTTGGAACTGTGCATTATATAGTCTTATACCCAACATTCATTTTCCATGTACTACCATGCACTCACTATGTAGTGAAAGTATCTCATTAACTCTACAGATTGTTTTTGCGTATCAAAGAATCAAATATGTTCCCCTAACACGATCACCTTTTGTGTTATAGTGTTACCTGAAGAAAAGTACAAACTGTCAAACAGGGCAGGCAGAAGATCAAACCTACTGTGAAGTAAATATAACCTCCCCTTACAGCCATTGAGCTATGGTTTTCCTAGCAATTACACAATAGCTTTTAGTCTTGTCACCAGTTCTCCATCTGTGCAACACTTCCCATGAATATACACACTATGTGACTATTTTAACACTCTAGGTCTCTTTCAGAAACTGCTCCCAATGTGCTAGTTTGAAATCTGAAGCCCTTTCTGCATATGGAGAGATAAATTTGACATTTCACTTCTATAAATCAATATGTGCTAAGGTTTAATCATTAAGTAAACTTGAATATGTATACATTTCCTCAAATGTATATAGAGAAGTCTCTCATCCCAACACCAGTAATAAATTAGGAGCAAAAAAAAAAACACATGTTAATTGTTCATTTATCAGTGATATCATTGTAAACATTGCTTATTAAACAGCCAGTGTAAAGAAGAGATGTGAAGTTCGGGCCTGTCTGTATAAAATGGTGGGAGAGGCCATTGTGAAACCTTGAAAAATGTATACTGGTCATTAAATGAAAAGCATAGTGCATAAATATCATGAACATGTAAAAAATGAGTGGTCACAGAGCTGTTTCTGCCCGGTTCTGTCTGTGCAGTCTTACCCCCTGTGCTGAATTCAACGTTTTCCCCCATGTCTTCTCAGGACCCTTGCCTGTTTGAACTGTGAACTGTCTGTTGTTTTCATGTGTAAGTTAACACTGGTGAAGGGCAGAAATCATAATCAAAGCTACTTTCTCTTGAACTCACCCACCAAGGGAGTTTTCTGAGTAAATACTTCTTTCAGTTAAGCTGTACCCTGTGTTTGAGGTAATCCAAGTATACCATGCTATGCTTGAGGTCTGTGATTTCTAACTTTCATGTTCTTGCATGTATCAAGTTGTAATTGACAGTAAAATAAATGAGACACTGGAAGGCATTTGAACTTCTCCACCATCCTTGCATTTAATATGGAGCAAATATAGCAGGTACTTTATACTAAGTTAACTTAATCTCCCTGTAGACACCTGCTTAATAAAAAACAAAACAAAACAAAACAAAACAAAACAAAACAAAAAACCTAATAGCTACCTGAAAGGATTGTGTTCATGGATGTTTCTATTTGAAGTCTTTCCTGTGGTCTATAGACAATGCACTTATTTAATTTCTGATATTTAATCATTTCTTATATTTATTTCACTGTTTTACCCTCTCTTGTCTTGTTTTTTAGTGTTCTTGTTTACATATAAGTGTCACTTTGTGGGCAATGTTTAACATTGATTGCTAGATCAGAGGTGAAGGAGAAGAAGCTACACACCAACTGTGTGTTTAAGGCACTTAACACACTTAAGGAATTGGTGGTTCCTTGAATCAGAAAGAATAACTAAAGGGAAGAATTGAACCCCAAGAGTTTTGATTCATGCATCACTTTCCAAGTGGCTAGACAATCCTGGGTATGCTTCCTTGAGAAATATGAAAGAGCTCTTACACAGCTCAGCCTTGTTTGAAAACTGGCTATTTCTGGAGGAAGGATATTTCATGGGACTCATGCCCTTATATTAAAATCAGACCTACAAGTGGAGCAAGACATAGTAATGTGTTTCAAAGTAGCATAAAAATCAACTAAAAATGTGGGTACAATTCGGGCTTATTGCCCATCTATTCTCAATGAACTTAAAAAAATGGCTCAATCATTTAAAAGAACCTCACAATTTGTTGCAAATCCAAATTTTTTACCCTAGGACCAAGCAGGTCCTGTCCTCTTGATAAGGTGTTCACCTGGCTGGTTTGAAATTATGGAAAGTAGTTATATATAAATCAAAAAAAGACAATTCATATATACCTGTATATAAGAACATTATTCATATAAATTAGTAATTAAATAATTAATGATGATGCCTTATCTCCAAGTTTATAGTATAATTTTATACGATTAAACTTTAATGAATTGGCAGGCTAGGCATGTTTTTCAGGTGGGAGTGTATGGACTCAGCATGTAGCAAGCCCTGGATTTGATGCCAGTACAACACAAACCGGATATGATAATATGTATCTATAATCCCAGTACCTAGGATGTAGAGGGAGGGAGACCGGAAGTTCGAGGTTGACTTGGGCTACATAGTGGGTTTGAGACCAGACTGAGCTACAAGAAAACCTTTCTCAATGATAATAGCACTAACAATAATAATGACCCCAAAGAGGAAACTATCAGAAAGTTGTCTTACGTAAATGAATGAACAGACAGTGGACAACCTAAATAATGGAGCACTATTCAGTGATAAAAGAAATGAGGTGCAAATGTCATAGACTCATGACTTCGCATGCACACTGCTAAACGGAAGAAGCTACTCTGCAGATAGCATGCACCATAGGATTCTATTTCCATACCTGAGAAGGAAAATGGTGTAAATAGAATAATGATCACCAGGAGAGAGGCTGAGCAGGTGGTCAAAGGCAAAAATGAAGCAATTATCAATTTGAAGACCATGAGAAAGAAATCTCTATGGACCAGATACTAAATTACTGTATGATATGGTTATCAAAACCATAGAGAATATAAATCATAGAGTGAACATTAATATATGCAAATTAAATAAAAATAATTTAGAAAGTCATAGGGTCCCTAAACTGTTTCTAGACTATGACAAGGAATCAAATCATATATTACTCATTTAAAAGGCAACTTCAGTTGGGGGGAGTGTTACATTAAAAAATGTTGGAAATGAGCTATAAAACTAAAGGCAACCCATATGTGGCTTCTGCACAGTTCTCTGTTTATGTTGTTTCCCAATGTGAAGTGCTAATATCATGTAAGCTGTACCTAAGGAACTAAGTCAGACTTGGCAAATGATTGAGCTGTGCTTATACCTATAGGTGTGGAAAGGTTCTTTTTTTTTTCATATCAGAGTCAGCCATGTGACATTGTTTTAGAGCTGTTGAAGGCATTGCTATGTTCATATAGGTTCATATATGTTGTAAACACAAATGCTTCTATACACAAATACAGATAGAGATAGAGATATATAGAGCTGTTTCATTTCAGTCATCCTAGAAGACACTATGCAGTGTATCCCTGTAGAACTAGCACATAAAATGTCAAGATCTTTCTTTTTATTAAGTTTGCTCTTGAAGGAACAAGGGATATTTCGGAAATGACTGATTACAGGACTGCAGCAGGAAATGTCCTATATAAATCATTTTAGAGTATCTTATGGTGCCCCAAAACATGGAAGTACTAGGGCAAATAAAACTACTTAAAGAGAGAGAGAAACATAAAGAAAGGCCCTCCAAGAGATGGCTCAGCAGATAAATGTTTGCTATGTTTGAGTTCCGATTCCCAAGAACACACAAAAAGCTGGACACCTGACCACTAGTCTGTAAGTCTAGTTCCCCTGTGGCAAGATGAGAGGGGAATAGGAGATCCCTGAAATCTGGGAATCAGTTAGTCTGGCAGAAGCACTGGCAACAGAAGACCCTGTGTCAAATAAGACAGATGTGAGCACTAGCGCCCAAGGCTGCCCTCTGACCTTCCCCGAGGTGCCTACCTTTATCCAAAGGTGATGCACACACACACACACACACACACTCTTTAATTTTTTAAATTTTAAAATGAAACATGTTAAGGATAGTACAACACAAACCAAAAAGGGTCCTCAAATTAGAACTGACATATTTCAGCCACCAATTAAATTCAAAATCATGGCACTATAGCTGAAAGAAGAAAATAAATACCCATGACTCTACCTAGGGGTATATAAAATGTTACATAAATAATGTACCAGGCAAATGGAGACATCTTTCTGTAGATGAATGTCAAACAGCTTGTGTAAACGCTCTGTCCTTGAGGAGGTGTTGCTTACATTGTCCTTTCCTTAAGTGTGAAATCTGCTTGGGAACTTTTCCCAATGCGATATATATGATTTTTTTTTTCTCATTGACTTGACATCCATTCTAGTTATCTATGGGACCAAATATCATCTAAGGAATCAGCTTCAAATCTTTC